ACTCACTGACGCAGATGTAGTCACACTAAGACACTGTCACACTCACACTCAGACACTGTCACACTCACACACACTGCCACACTCACAGACACAGATGTAGTCACACTCACACACACTGTCACACACACACACACACACTGTCACACTCAGGGCATTAATACTCACTATTCCATCATGAGAATCATCTCACTCCTGGTGTCAAAGGCATCGTAGAGTTGAATGAGATTGACATGGTTCAGCAGATTCATCACCTGTACTTCATTGGTGATACTCTCCTGGAGAGAAACAAACAGAGAGTTTCACAGGGTCATCTTTCTAACCAGCTGATGGGGGAGAGAGAGAGACAGAGATCGGGGAGGCGGGGGTTCCCTCTTCCCAGACCCTGAATGACATGGCCAATGGTGAGCCTGTTAGTGCAAAGAAAATGCAAAGATCAGGAAATTGGGGAATCTCGGTGATGAGAAATAAAAATCCAATGTTGTCCCTAAGGTTTGAATGGCAGGATGAGAATCTGGTTAGTGAGTGATCAGGGCCCTACTTGTATGTGTGTTACATCCCATTATCACCTAACCTTGCGTCTTCGAAATGTGGGCTGCTACATCCACGGTCATCGGTGGCTCCCATTGTGAGTGGGAGCTGGTAACGCTCGACTCCAGGTGGCCAGCATCTTACTGGGGTAGGCACCTCGCCCAGCAGCCCCTGGGCACGCCATAAGGGCACCAACCACCTACATCCTTGGTCCATCGTGGTTGGCTTCCAGCTTCACCACATCACCACGGCATATTCCTGACACTGTGTTTGGAGTACAGATCACCACTCTGATCCTGCACTCTAGACAGCACCAATACCTCTCATTGTAATGTCGCTGCCAGGCCACTTTGTACACAGGGACAGGCTCATATATCACTGCAGGGGACATCCCAAGGCTTTGAGCTTGCTGGCTTAGCACCCTCTCCCCTTGCGCCTATCGGGCATTCATGGTATCTTGCCATGCCTTGCCTCTTACACTCTGCTGCCTCATTGAGAATGTCCAGGCTCCTCCCAGCACAGCTGTCTCACTTTGTCTTTGTCAAAGATCTGCTAGCCTGTTGTGTTTACCAGCAATGATCAGTTGAGGGAGGTGGTGGACATGTCGGTGTAGAGCACTGTGTTACATCAATGTCTTACCTGCAGCGCGGGTCACAATGTGCTACAAACACTTGGCAGTCTCCGAAAGCCTAAGAGCAGTAGGCCTCAGGTTGTCAAGGGGACAATGTTCAGTCCAGCAGGGGTGTCCTGGCACAGTGAGTCAGTATCAATCCAGGGGCTTGGTCACAGCCACAGGGCACTAGGGTGGTCAGTGTAAGGAGTACCCTCCCTCAGGGCATTGTGGGTCAACCTACAACACACGGACTGCAGTGGTTCAAGAAGGCAGCTCATCGTCAGCTTCTCAAGGGGCAACTAGGGACGGGCAATAAATGCTGAACCAACTAGAACTGCCCACATCCCACGAGTGAATGGAATAAAATTACAGTCCAGGGAGTGGGCCAGAACCAGTCCTACAGGTCCATTGCAACCTGTCTGGGGTTAGGGTTAGGGTTAGGGTTAGGGTTAGGGTTAGGGTTAGGGCTAGGGCTAGGGTTAGAGTTAGGGTTAGGGTTAGGGTTAGGGCTAGGGCTAGGGTTAGAGTTAGGGTTAGGGTTAGGGTTAGGGTTAGGGCTAGGGTTAGGGTTAGGGTTAGGGTTAGGGTTAGTGTTAGGGTAAGGGCTAAGGTTAGGGTTAAGGTTAGGGTTAGGGTTAGGGTTAGGGTTAGGGTTAGAGTTAGCGTTAGGGTTAGGGATATGGTTATGATCAATCTGGGGATTTGTACGATAGGGTTAGGTTTAGGGTTAGGATTAGCGTTAACGTTAAGGTTAGGGTTAGGGTTAGGGTTAAGGCTCGGGTTAGGGTTAGGGTTAGGGTCAATCTGGGGATTTGTGCGATAGGGTTAAGGTTAGGGTTATGGTGAGGGTGAGGGTTAGGGTTAGGGTTAGTGTTAGGGTTAGGGTTAGGTTTAGTGTTAGGGTAAGGGCTAAGGTTAAGGTTAAGGTTAGGGTTCGGGTTAGTGTTACGGATATGGTTATGGTCAATCTGGGGATTTGTACGATAGGGTTAGGGTTAGAGTTAGGGTTAGGGTTAGGGTCAAGGTTAGGGTTAGGGTTAGGGTTAGGGTTAGGTCAGTCTGGGGATTTGTGCTCTGTCCGGGAGATGCACCGAGGTCAGACAGGGATCTGATCAGTCACTGTTTGGGATTGTTTCCAAGTCAGTCACGGGGGATGAGCCATGATCAGTCCTGGAGTTCTGCTCAATGAAACGCAAGGGTGTTCCCAGGGTTCACTGCCATTATCGGGACGGTGGGGAGCTGAATGCTGGAGGTGGGAGGTAGTGTGCTGGGATGCCCAGGAGACAATAATTGTGAAAAGAGAAACTCAACAAATATGGGAGTGGACAACAGAGTCTCGAGGGTAAGGGGTGCTGCAGGTCACTGGCATTGCTCCACACCTCACTGGCATCAATAGGGGGCAGTGCGTAACTCTGCCTGGCACAGCTGAGCTGTAGGCCATGGGCACAGATGGTAGGAGAAACAGCTGAGCAGTTCAAAAATGGAGCTGTGTGGGGAATATGACACCTTTGGGAGTTGACAGGCAGCAAAGAACGTAAGGTTTCCGGGTTATTTCAATCACCAGACAGCTCACTCCATGAAGTGCTATTTCGAATAGAATAGAAATTTATTGTCACATTTACTTTTACATGAAAAATACAGAGAAAAGTTTTATAAGTTGCCGCACTACAGCACCTACATCAGTGACAGAGTCACACATAATGATAATTAAAATGTAAAATTCAGACAAAATTCAATTCACAGCTCCTGGCCTTGGGTAAAGCCGATTAAGAAATGAAAGAATACCGTAATTATGCAGTTGGGATGAGAGAGAGAGACAGAAGGAGAGAGACTGAATACAGACAAAGAGATAGAGACAGAATAGAGAGAGCAAGACGGAGAGAGAAAGAGTCAAGGAAAGACAGAGAGACACAGAGAGAGAAAAAGAGAGAGGGAGAGAGAGACAGACGGAGGGAAAGAGAGAGATACAGAAAGAGAAAGAGAGAGAGTGTGAATACAGTGTCAGGCAGAGAGAGGGTGGGAGAGAAAGAGAGAGGGAGACAGAGAGAGAAAAGTGAGAGACAGAGAGGGAGAAAGAGAGAGAGACGGAGAGAGAGGGACAGAGGGAGAGAGAGACAGAGAGAAGGAGAGAGGGAGAGAGACAGTGAATACAGAGTCGGAAAGAAAGAGAGGGACAGAGAGTGAGACTGAGAGAGACAAAGAGAGAGAGAGAAAACGAGAGATGGGGAGAGGAGAGTGAATACAGGGTCAGAGAGAGAGACAGAGAGAAAGGCTAGAGATACTGAATAGAGAGAGATAGTTTGAATGTGGAACTGAGTGGAGTGTGAAATGATGATGAGGGGAACACGATTGTGGCTCTGAGAGGGAGGGTAGGTATGAGGGCAGGGGTCTGTTTGATGGGTTAGACTGAGCTGAAGGCCTGTCACCCAACACGTGGGGACCGGGGGAGGCTGGGGGAGAGAGGGGTGGGGGTGTGGGGGTTTTGGGAGGGAGGTGGGGTGTGGAATGCTCAGTGGGGAACCAGGAGGACACATTGGAAGTTTCACTTTGATTAAAACAAACTGATGAGAGATAGCACAGGGCCCCAGTGGGATGAAGAGGAATGTTTACACACAGCGAGTTGTGGCTGGAACACAATATCGGATTGGGTAATGGGATCCCATTCAACAGAAACTTCCAGAAAAGGCAGGCATCAGTAACTTAGGCGGGGGGGGAGTGCAATGGGTGTAAACAGAGAGGTCCTTCAGTGAGCCAGCAGCAGGCTCGATGACTGAATGGCCTGCTCCTCAGCTCGAGGATTGTGTAGCTGCAGAGCGGAGGAGATGGAAGTGAGGGAGCTCCTGGGGCTGAAACTGGGAATGCCGGGTGGGAATGGGAGAGAGAACATGACACAACGCAAGGGGGTCAGTCAAAAACTATCGCATATTCTCAACAACAGTCACCCGCCAGGAAATTCACTGAGAGCATCTGAAGAAACACTGCGTGAAAAGCAAATTGGAGCTAAAATAAAGCAGGATGGAAATGCAGGGATCTTTTTAATAGAATCCCTACAGTTTGGAAGCAGGGCCTTTAGCCCAACAAATCCACAACGACCCTCAGAGCATTCATCCAGACCCATCCCGCTATAACCCACCTAATCTACACATCCCTGAACACTATGGGTAATTTAGCATGGCCAATCCACCTAACCTGCACATCCTTGGACTGTGGGAGGAAACCAGAGCACCCGGAGGAAACCCACGCAGACACGGGGAGAACGTGCAAACTCTGCACAGAGAGTTGCCCGAGGGTGGAATCAAACCCGGGTCCCTGGTGCTGTGAGACAGCAGGGCTAACCACAGACTCACCATGCTCAGGGAGATTGTCCCCTTTCAGAGCGGTGGGTAGCATAGAATTCACAAGCGTATCGTTGGGAGACCTGGGGTTTGGTGCTGTCAGTAACATCCAACACTGAATGCAGACCAATCAGAGCGTGGTGGATGGAGGGCTAAACAGCAGGGATGGCTCAGATATGGCTCCAACAAAATATATATAACATGCAGGCTTTACCTTTTCTTTGGCAGATCGCACTTTAATAATTTTCATGGCGAGCTGGAGCTCAGAGGATCGTTCTGTACATCGGTGAACACTGCCAAAACGACCCCTACAATAAACCAGGGACAGAGCTATACACAGAACAAAGACAGTAACTCAATATAACAAGGAATGGCAATAAACCCATCTGCCACTGACACTAACACTCACTGTTACACACTGACACTAACCCTCACTGTCACACACTGACACTATCCCTCACCGTCACACACTGACACTATCCCTCAC